TTTTAGGGGGGGCACAAGCAAATGGAGAAATCCATTGATTACACTTTGATTCTACTTAAAGTCGACTAAAATCAAATTAAAAACTTGTCAAGCATCAAAAAGGGGTAGACTGAAGTTGCATTGCTTCTTCTTCCTAAGGGTTTATATTTTGATTGCTTATCTTTTAGCTTTTGGTTTTGTTTCTATCGTTATTGAATCTCTTCACAAGATTGTGCACCTTAAGCTTGAGTTTTAAATTTGTTTTTATGCATGCATAAATCAAATTGTTTGATTATGGTATAAGCAATATCCTTCAAGTCAATTTGGTAAGTTTGTTAATCAATAACTACATTTGAGAATGGTTCAAGTCATGAGAATGTTAGAATCTCAAAATACTTCACAATTTACAAAAATTGAGATTCGGGTAGTTGGAGAATCATTATGACTGAACCACTTACCCTAGTGGAGGAGGTGGATCTTCAGTTGTGGAGACAAGGATCGACGCGTGATGTTGATTACAGGAGCGACATTGTAATGAGTGGCCAATTAAGTTGCTTTGGAACCTACACTTGTTGACGGTTGTGAAAATTCACTATGATCAAATTGATTAATAGAAAGGCGCAACAGAGGAGATTAGAGGAATCATACATGGAATTTCATGATGATCAAGAAATAGATTCCCACATACAGCGTCACTATTCAAAGTAGAATAGGAAATTGATGATGTGTTGGTGAAGTCCTTCGTGGAAGGCCTCCTGTACGACGGTGGGAGTCTCAAGTAAGTAGATGAGGTGTTCCTATAAAGTTAACACTCAAACGCTTAAGCTAGTGAAGTTAGAGAAGTGTAACTTTGTAAGAGTATAATGAATTGTACTTTGGAGTGACACAAACCACAATTATATATGAACAACGTCAAATTCAAGAGACCGTTGAATCGACTCCGACGGCTTGAGTGATGTCCCTTAGTGAAAGTCTTTAGCTATTCATTAAAATGAACAAAGAAAACTCTTGATAGAATCTTCAAATTATATCAAACTTTTTAGATAATTTTGTCCGTTCGAAATACTTAAGAAAATATTATTAGAGTAAAAATATAAATTAAAAAAAAAAAACTCAGTAAAATAAAAGAGAATTATGAAAAGAAAAAACTTTCCAAGGCCAATAATAAAAAAACAGCAGCAACATAAAGAAGAAATTCCATTTAATTTATTTTATTTGTTTCCTCAAGATAAATCTATTATTTAAAATTTTAAAACTTTTTAAAAAAATGAAGAAGAAAACATGAACAGAGCCAAAATTGTCATAAGCAAAGCAATGCTTCATTGAAGCAGAGCCATCGATTCGTGCAGTCTCCATCTCGCATCTCAAAACCCAAAAACACAACAACGCAAATTTTAAAATTATTATAAACATAACAATAAAAAACAAGCACATATTTCTAAAAACCTCACTCACACACTCATAGTTTCAAAACACCCCCCCTCTCTCTCTCTCTTTCTCTTTCACTCTCACAATCCCCAAACCGCAGAAACACATACAGCATAACAAACTTGAATAATTTAACTTCAACCAAAAAAACAAAAGTTTTAAATGAAGATGAAAAATTTAATGTAATTGTAAAACAATATTTATAATTCTCAGAGCCGCGTTTTACAGAAATAGGACAATCATGACAACTCTCCTCTAATCATACACTTACACCTCTCACTATCTAGTTTCTTTTTTTAAAATAAATTTCTCTTTCCATCAACTTGATATATTGACTCATCAAAATTACAAGATACTCTTAATTTTACAAAAGTTTGAATTTATATTTGGTGATATAAACTCAATTTTAACAGATTTCAATTACATTTGGTGAATAAAATGTTTTGCGTTACTTCATATTATAATGTTTAATACAAACTTTTAATTTAGACTTTGATCTCAATTTGAAAAATTATCATCTCTAAAATATTGAATTTTAAATGGAAATGGTTAAATCTCAAATCAAATTTGAAGAGAAAAAAAAAATGATATACAAGATAGACATAGTACTTTAAATATGTTGGTGAATATGTCATATCAATACTTCTTATGATATGTTGCACCTCTTTATTTGTGACAATACGATGGAAATTGCAAAATCTTCTCTAAAATATTTATATACAAAACTCTTGCATTAGTTAATAATGTTTGTTTGATTATACAATAGATTTTTTGGTCGAATTCAAAATCACATCGAAATTTTTCTATTAATGCATAAGCTCCATTCTCCTGCTTCTTAAAATCACATCATTTTGCCTTGGAATGTAGTATTTTATATAAAAAAAACTTAAAGCATATACGTAGAGCTTAGCACACAATTTTTATCTACATACCTTTTATCTTTTTCCATTCTTATTCACATACTATTCTAAGCTATTCGCAAGATCCGCCAACAAACTCCTAAGCATGAGTCCAAATCGAACGACGACTTGTGAGAGACACGCCACTTGTTAATCTAAAATTTTAAGGTAATAGATGAGTGAAGTTCACTAATGAGCATTGATGATACTATTTGTTGGGGAGAGTTCACTAATGCACATTTATGAGAGATGCACCACTTATCCACCTAAAATCTTAAGGTGATAGGTGAGTGGGTTCTCCCACTTATATATGCTCAAGTCTCCACTTTTCTATTCAATGTGGGTCTATTTCCCCACTTATTCACACTTGCATTATTATTCTAACACTTTCCCTCAAGTGTGAGTCCACAATGCTCCCCCTCAAAACACTTGTACCGCCGTTGACACCTTGCCGAGGAACACCTCTTCTTAGGCATTTCGATAAAACTAAGTCGGTTCCACTCTCAAACGAAAGGCTCATGATACCATTTGTTGGTGGGAATTACTATGAGCATTGATACAAAGTTGAGGATTATGCACCTTTGTGAGAGATGCACCACTTATCCACCTAAAATCTTAAGGTGATAAGTGAGTGAATTCTCCCACTTATATATGTTCAAGTCTTCACAGTCCTATATAATGTGGGACTATTTTTCCACTTACTCACACTTGCATTATTATTCTAACACATATTAGGTGTTAGGGAGATTTTGGGTAGGAAGGTCTCCCATTGGTGGGAAATGGTGTTTAGTCTTGGATGGTCTCCTGATCGGTGGTCTCCTTCGCTGCTTCTTGTAAGAAAGTTGTGGGGAACGATAAGAAAGCCAGGTTCTGGCACGATGTCAAGGTTAGGTCTTCGCAGTTGTGTGTGTGTGTTTTGAGAGTATTTTCCTTATCTCGGAGCTTAAGTCTTGGATAATGGGATTGTCGAGGAGCTGGATAGATGGTGATTTAGTTTGAGATTTTGGATGGATACACCCTTTCCTAGTTTGGAAAGTTGAGTTGTTGGAGGAGTTTCTTAGTTTAATCGTTGGGGTGGTTTAACAGGGGCATCTGGATGTCTGCATGTGGGCCCTGGATCACATGAGATGGTTCTTAGTGCGGCCAGCCTATGGTAAGCCCTCTGTTTTGATGGCGAGTGAGGATGAGAGGTCGTCTCGGATGATCCATGGATTAGCTAGGGTCTGGAAGATGTGAGATCTTCTAAATTGGTGGTCTTCTTTTGGAAACTATTGCAGGATAAATTATAAACCTGACAAAATCTAGCTAGGCTCCAGATTGTGTCGAATATTTTTAGGGTGAGTTGTGAGGTTTTTTTAGATAAGTTGGAATCCATGAATCATATGTTTATCCATTGTGCAGTGGTGACCTATCTCTAGTATAAAGTGTTTAGGTGTGTCGATATGCCTACCCCTCCTTCCGTTTTAAGTCTTAAATGTTTTTAAGGTTGTTCAGGGTTTTGGATGGGTATGAAGTCTCGATTAAGTTTGGTTACGATCTAACATGCAATAGTCTGGATAATCTAGAAAATACAGAATAAAATTATTTATTATTAAAAAAAGAAAGATGGTCAATTGCTAAATGAAGCTAATTATTAATACAACTTATAAGTGAGTTTGTGCCCGTGCTTAAGATTTCCTCTTTTCTCTAGTGTATTAGGAGCATAACCCGCTTTGATGCCATTATTTTCATGGGTGTGGTGGGTGACTAGCAGTCCTTCTCTAATTTCTTGCAGATGATATGGTTTGTCTACTTTCAGTATACTCTCTCCGAGAGTGTTGTATTCCAATAGGCTTATTATTGGTGTTGATGGTAGTGGTAGCGTTTGCTTTCTTTTTCTCTTTGTGGTGAGTTATTTCAATTGTTTAGATGGAGATTTAACTTTATCTATCTTAAATTCTAATTTCTCTTTTTTAGTGTAGTGTTGGATTTGTTTATCGCTTTATTAGATTTTATTTATAGGGAGGGAGGGTGTTGCTTGAGCTTTGATTCCTTTGTTTGCCGGTTTTGTTATTTCTGATGGTGTTGTTGGTTTTTAACATTGTTTGTGCTTGTGTTGCTTTTCGTATGTTTTTTTCTTCCTTCTAATGTATTCATCTGTTTTGTTATCAAAAAAAATATGATAGTTATTATTTTATTCTTTAAAGATAAAAAAGTTAAAAGAAAAAAATAAAATATTGCATATTCAAATATGTGCTCCAAGAAATACAACTATCACATGACCTTAATTAATTATTCATAAATGATTTTTTATATATTTTATTACATGAATAGATGCATGAAAGTAAAACAACAAAAGTGAACCGTCTCATTCACGGCAGTTCCCACACTTCTCTTGACTTTTGAAGTTTTTCTCTCCTTTCTGTTGCTACTTTTCATATTTTCGTATGTTTGCTTTTTCTTGCTGTGATCCTCTCCACTTTGTTACTTTCCCTTTTCAACACAATATACTATCTTACCACCACTTCCATCAATCTATCTCTCTATCATCACCCCCCATTAACCTTTTCAAAACATTTTCTTTTATTAAAACCCATTTCTCAAAAATAAAAAATAAAAAATCACTCATCAATATAAAGATTCATACATTGTTACACTTTTTCTCAGTCCCTTCTTTTTCTCTCTCTAATTCTCAAAAATCCCTTCTCTAACATCATGGTTGGTGACAAAGGAGACACATCTAAAAAACAACAAACTTCGTCTTCTCCAAAACCACTTCATGAAGAATCATCACCCTCACAACAAGTTATTGTTGTTACTGGAACCAACCCTTTCATTTCAACTCCTCTTTATGTTTCAACTGGTGCAAGTTCTTCACCCTTTGAAAACCAATTTGAAACAACAACCTTAAACACAACAAAAAGACCAAGATATAGTGGACAATGGAAGCTTCTACCGTCACCAACATCACAACAAAAGCAACTTCAAACTCAACAACAACTCACCATTCTTAATCCAACAACAGACTCAAAATCAACAACCCCTTCACCATCAAATCCTCAACAACAACAACAACCTTTAGCTGCTTCTTCGTCAGACACAACATCTTCACAATCTGTTGATCATCTCTCACCAATGCCTGGTCAAGAATTAGGAAACAAACAAGAACTAGAACAGCAAGTTCATCAACAGCTCCGAAAAGGTAAATATGTAAGTCCCGTTTGGAAACCAAATGAAATGCTATGGTTAGCAAGAGCATGGAAAGAACAATACCAAACAGCTTCAGATTCATCTCAACAACAACAACTACAACAAAACCAACAACAATCAGAGCTTGGAATGAGTAGAGGCAAAACAAGAGCTGACAAAGACAAAGAAGTTGCTGAATTTCTAAACAAACATGGTGTTAATAGAGACGCCAAAACCGCAGGTAAAAAAAAACATATAAAGTTACTTGAAATTTGTTATTGATAATTTTCAAGTAATAAATTTTTATGTTTCTATTAGCAGGTACTAAATGGGATAACATGCTAGGTGAATTTAGGAAAGTTTATGAATGGGAAAGAGGTGGTGAAAGAGAACAAGTTGGAAAAAGCTATTTTAGGCTTTCACCTTATGAAAGAAAGTTGCATAGGTTACCAGCTTCTTTTGATGAAGAAGTTTTTGAAGAACTTTCACAGTTCATGGGTTCAAGAATGAGGTCTTCTTCTCATGGTGGTAGAATTGGTTCTTCCTTTGTTTCTTGTGATGAAACTAGAACAAGATCTCTTCCTCCTCCAAGACCTTTCAAAGATGATGAACTTCCTCTATCAGGTTTTTTTTGCAGTAAAAAGTATTACATTTATTTTATCATGAAAATGAGAAAATGAGATAATTTCTTAGTCACATAATTCTTCAATGTACTATTGATAAAGTTTGGGTTTTTTTAGAAAATTTTTTATTTTCCTTTTTATAGAATGAATAGTATTTTGAGACATTCATGAAAGTTTTGAAGGGAAAAAATATATATTATTTACTGTTTCTGTTATTCTTTCTGACTGGTACAACTTAAAATACTGTTTCACAATCTTTCAGAGAAAGAATGTTTTAGAAAAGGTGAAAAAAATGAAAAAATTTAGTACAAAAGTATCCTAATTTTTTTTAACAGTAGTACCCTAAAATTTTTTTAACATTTTTTCAACACTTTCATTCATTGTGTCATTGTTGCAGCTAGGACAAAGCAATTGACAATGACAAGTAGTGGTGGTGGTGGTGAACCATTTTTTCATAGAGGGAACATATTAGGGTTAGATTCAATGGTTGAAATGTCGACGACACCTTGTTCGAATTCGAAAGAATTAAAAAGAATTGGGAAGATAAAAATGACATGGGAGGAATCAGTGAGTTTATGGGGTGAAGAAGGTGAAGTTCATAGGGGAAGAGTGAGGCTACAAAATTCAAGTTTTTTACATGCTGATGAAATCACTTGTTTTGATGATGCAATGGTGATTTGTCCTTTGGAATCTTTTGAAGATGGTCCTTTGAAAGGTTTTTCAGTTGATAGATTTGTTTCTGGACAACAAGTTAAAGTTTTTGGTAGAAGAAAATCTTCTTCAGCTTCTTCTAGTGGTATCAAACAAAACTTTTCCTATTATATCTTTGGTTTGTTTTTATAATTTTTTTTGGAGTTTATTTATTTTTGTTCTTCTTTCTCTTTCTCTTTCTCAGGTTTTGCTGAAAGAGTTCAACAACCTATCAATAAACCAATTCCCATAAGATGTGAGTTTCTTAATTTATGTTGTTGTCTATATTAATAGGGACCATCCTTCTCTTTTATCCCTATGAAAACACATTATTTAGTTTCATTTCATTCAAAACTTAGTACAATTTTTTTGAATTATTATTGTGTTTTTCAACTCCACTTTAACATTAGTCATTTTAATTTATTTTTTTTGAAAATATAAATTATGAATGTTTCAAAATTCAAGGCTTCAAATTGTGGATTCTGGGCTCTATTAATTTGAATTACTTTAAACTATCAATCAGACATATGGATCTAAAACACCACTTCCCCAAGTCTTTATTATTAAAATAAAATACTTTTTAAATTTATTAAATAACTACTGTATTTGATATATATAATAGTTTAAATGCATTGCTTTTTCAATCAATTTAAATAATAATAATTTTTTTCTAATCAAAACTTTAAGTTGTAATAATTTTGAAAGTTAATTACATCATTGCTAGCTCAATTTGCAGTTGTATGTTTGTTTTATTTTTTATTTTATTTTTACGATATTAGAAATTTGTGTATAGCAATTACAATTTACAATTGATAAGCATGTCAAAATTAAAACATGCACATTTTTCTCTTTAATTATTATTTAATGTATATTCTTATTAGCTGAATTTCTATGTTTTTGTTTTTGGCATTATATAATCATGAATAATTAGACAAGAACATTGCTTTTTACCTGTAATTTAATGAACTTCACTTATACAAATACTATAAACTCTATAGCCTTGAATTATCCAACAAGTATTATTGTGCTTCCAAAATTAATTTTGGCAGAATCATAATTAATTTATGGTTGGTGTGTTTAATTTGCAGCAATTGTTCCATTGGATTTTAGAGATCCAACTGAATACTACATAGATCATCTTCTTCATATCTCATCACCACAATCACTTCCAACATTATTCGAACTCAAGCATTATCTTCAAGAACCTCCACCACCGAATCTTCGTTTTCCATTGCGAAAAGAAGTGTTTGATGATTTACCACAAGGTAAAGAGTTTTTCTTCACAACAACCTCTGAACCATTGGATTGTAGATCCATAATCTATGATATTGTTGGCCCCATCATCCGAAACAACATCAACATCATTGCTAACAATAACAACCCTAGTTGTTGTACTCTTCCATTTTGTAGTAGAGAGTCTCTCATTGGTGTTTGGGATGATTGTATCAATAGGGTTGTTTCAAGATTCTGTTGCGAAGATATCGTAATTACTAGAAAGCCCTTTTCATCGTCTTCATTATCAAATTTACAATCACAAGACTCATTGTTGTTGTTGCAAGATGAATGGCCTAATGTGAGTGGTTTTGTGAACAATTTTTGCTTATGGAGAGGTGAAGAATGTGAAGATTTTAAAGAGAATAATCATCAACAAAATCCATCATCTACTATCATTCAAAAGTTACTATGGAGTTATTCTGATTTACCCTATATCCTTGGTTACTATGCAATTGGAAACAAGGTAACATTTTGTGCACTTAGTAAATCACAAGAAGATGCAAAAATCATTAGAACTGATTTACATCAAGTGAACCTAACATCACCAAGTGAAAGATTCAAAGCACTAGTACCATGTTTTAGAATTGGAATTTTGTTATCAATATTAAGCAAAGAATGCTTAAGCATGCAAAAGGGTAGTTTCGTCTATAGTGATTTCGAAAGGTATAGTATTGGAAACGGTGTTATAATAGAAATGACACCAAACACATGCAAAAGGGTATTTTCGGAAAAGAGAAAATGGTGTTCCGTGAAAGAGGTTTACGAGATTCTAGATGATAGAATCCCACATAGTGAGTTTTTGTTTAAGGTTGTCGAAGACATAAACGACATGAGTTTGGTTTTTAAGCCGAGAGGTATAAGAGTTAAACCGTTGAGTATAGAACAGTTAGTGGAAGCCCTAAAGTATGTTACAAAAGCTTTGGTCGCATTACACGACTTGTCGTTTATGCATAGGGATATAGGTTGGGAGAATGTTATGATGAGGGAGGGTGGTGAGTGGTTTGTGAGCGGCTTCGACGAGGCCGCCGGTGCGCCGGAGTTGAATAAGTATGTTAAGGAAGGTGGCATGGTGGAGCGTGGGAGGCACGCGCCGGAGATGGAGAGAGGGTTGCATGGGGTGAAGGTGGATGTGTGGGGAGTTGGGTATTTGATAATGACAAGTGGGTTGGTGAGTGTGCCGAAGATGATGAGAGAGTTGCAGAATTGGTGTATGGAGCAGAATCCGGAGCAGAGACCTACTGCCGCCGATTGTTATCATCATTTGTTGCAACTTCAGTCGTCTTTGTTGGTGTCAGCTGGTGTTGCCGGTGGTGGTGGGTTGATGTGATTGATTTCTTCATGTTTTCTTGTAGATGGATGGATGGATGGATGGTGATTCATCATTTAACTCTTGAGTTTTATTTATTGTTATTAACTCATTGCATTATTGCTGTTTTTTTTTGACAGGGGTGTTATTATGTTTTGTTATATGAGACTTTCAATAAGTGTTATTACATGTTTTCAACTTATGATAAAAAAATGGTTACAAGTTTATCTTGTTTTCTAAATTTTTCTATTACTAGTTGTTTTATTTATAAATTTAATTTTTTCTATTGTCAATAATCAAAAAAATATTTGTTGAAAATAATAATATGCCAATCTAGAGTTTTTGGGTAATGTATTTCATTGTAGTATTACTTATGATTATTTTAAAAACTTCAAATGATATTATTAATACTTAAAATTATATTTAATTTAATGAAAATTAAGATAATTAAATTTATAAATATAATCTTTAATAAAGAATATTGACATAAGGGAAACTTTATGAGATTTATATTTAATTTTTTATTAACTTTTTTAATATTATTTTTGAGTTTCTTTAGATTGATAATAAATTTAGAATAATCAATGATAATTTATGTATTCAGGATAAAGTTTACTAGTTTAACAAAATTAGTAATTGTTAATTATATTTTTAGTGTTTTATATATATATATATATATATATATATATATATATATATATATATATATATATATATATATATATATATATATATATATATATATATATATATATATATATATATATATATATATATATATATATATATATATATATATATATATATATATATATATATATATATATATATATATTATTGATCGGTTTTATTAAAAAATATATATTTAATTTCCCTTCAGAGTGATTGATGAAAATTTTTATTTGGACTTTGATTTTTTTTAATGACAAAATATTATTAATAATACATGTAATACAATATGGGAAGAATAAACAAAAACAATAAATAGAAGGAGTGTCAAGTTAATAAAACAAAAATAACTCTAACAACATAAGTAAAAGTAGAACACATAACAAAAGCAATCTCGAAATCAACTAATTAAGGAGAAGAGAAGGGAAGGCTTGAGAAACACCTGCACACTAGAGCAACGTCCAACAAGAATAATGCTAGATCTAGAGCTCAGACTAGATCTGCGTAGAACACCAAAAAACCATGAAGCACCATAGAGGAAAATGCTAGAATTCTTGTTTCATTATTAGTTTAAACACATGACATGGTCCATAAAGGATTTATTAATGACCAATTCCAAGTCAATAAAATATTTAAATCCTTCGCCTCTTTCACATTTGTTCACATACTAGAAAAAATTATTATTACAGGCCGTCTTGGAGCACAAGAAAGATAAAAGACAAAAGAAATATTTACTGATAACTTCAAAATAAGGATTTACAATGAATTACAATAACCTACTCCACTAGGCTATTTATACACAAAATTAAATCTATAATATATCTTCTACAAAGATATAAGAAGATCTAAGATATATATCTTCTAACAAAGATATAAATAATCTAAAAGATATTCCTAAATATAAATTAATATCTAATTAAATCTAAATTAATTCTAACACCATCCCTTAATTTATATTTACCCAAAACTGTCAACGCCAATTTCATCCCTTAATCCAAGAAATTGATCAGTTTTAATAGCCTTTGTCAGAACATTCTTGAACTCAACTATCTTTTGTTCAGAACTTCCTGTAAGTAGTATGTCATCAACGTACAAACAGACCAGAATCATATTATCTTCTGAAGTGTGCTGAACATAAACACCATACTCCATCTCACACTTCTGAAACCCTTGTTCCTTGAAAAACGAATCAATCTTCAAATTTCAAGCTCTGGGCGCTTGCTTCAATCCATACAATGCTTTGTGTAATTTGAACACCATCCCTTTCTGATTCTTTTTCTCAAATCCAGGAGGTTGTGAAACGTACACCTCTTCTTGTAATGGACCATTCAGAAATACAAATTTTACATCTAAATGTATCAGAGGTCAATTCCTGTTAGCAGTTATTGCAATCACTAGTCTGATTGTTTCATGTCTCGCTACATGTGCAAACACTTCAAAGTAATCCATCCCAGGCTTCTGTAGGAAGCCTCTTGCTACTAATCTCGCGTTGTGTTTGCCAATTGATCCATATGGCTTTAGCTTCTGCTTGAAAACACATCTGACTTTGATGGCTTTCTTGCCTTTTTGAAGTTCTGTCAGCTTCCAAGTCTTGTTTCTCTCTATAGCATCAAGTTCTTCTTTCATGGCCTGTAACCAAACTTGCTGCTTAAGAGCCTCTTCCATACTCACGGGTTCAGAGTCTACTAACATTACACACTGAATAACTTCTCCTTCAGAGTCTACTTCAGTGTCTTGCAACATATCAAACTCTGCAAATCTTCTTGGGATGCTTCTGACTCTTTGTTTCCTCTGAACTGGACCTTCAGAACATTGGACACCAGAACTTTCCCCTTCAGAAGATCTTGCTTCAGAGTTTTGACTTTCTCCAAAACCTTGACTGTCTTCAGAGTCTTGAAAATTCCCAGAGTCTGAATCATCATCAGAGTCAAAGCCACTACCTTCAGAAATAACATCTTCAAAAATTGGATCACCTCTGCCTTCAGAAGTTCCACTTTCAAAATCATGATCATCGTCAAAGGCTGAATTTCCTTCAGAGGCTCCTCCTTCAGAAGGTCCAACCTTAGAGTCATGATTTCCACCAGAAACTTGATCATCTTTAGAAGCTTGTCCTCCTACGTCTTTAGAGTTTTCCCTTTCATAAGGATGATCACCACCAAATTCTGGATCATCATCGATCAAAATCTGAATCAGAATCAGATTCACCATCTGACTCACCTTCAGAGTTTCCAGAGTCATCATCTTCTGACTCTTCTTCAAAGGTAGAATCTTCTTCAGATTCAGAATCACCTTCGGATTCTGACTTGTCTTCAGCTTCAGAGTCATCTTCTAACTCTAACTCGTCTTCAAAAACCTTAGATTCTGACTCATCTTCAAAATCTTCAGCGTCATCTTCTAATTCTGACTCGGAGTCATATTCTGATTCTGACTCATACAAAATCACTCCTTCGGTATCAGAATATTCAAAGTCATATTCTTCTTCCCCTTCAGAATCAGAAAATGACAATTTCACTGGTTCCTCATCAGATTCATAAACCATAAATAGCACAGATTCATCATCTGAATCTCCTCTGGCTACATTTTCTTCTTCTGACTTTCTTTCTTTGTTGGACCATCAATCTTTGGCATAATGACCAAAGTTCTTGCAACAGTAACACTGAATATTCTTCTTGTCAGACTTCTCATTTCCCTTCTGGACATTCTTCTGCCTATCAGAGTTTGAAGCTTCTGATCTTTGACCACCATTAGTTTTCTTCCTGGCTTCTGACCAAGTCTGCTTCTGATGCTTCTTACCAGAAGTTACTTTCAGAGCCTGCTGCTCTACTTCCCTCTCAGAAGTTCTTGCAGTCATACGTAACTCATGCACCTCTAGACTACTTTGCAGCTCTTCAACTCTCATGGTGCTCAGATCTTTAGAATGTTCAATTGCTATCACAATGTAATCAAGCTGAGAAGTTAAATATTTCAAGATCTTCTCAATGATTACTTGTTCAGACAGAGTTTCTCTACAAGCTTTCATCTCATTAGTGATCAGAATCACTCTAGAGATGTATTCAGAAACCTTCTCGTTATCCTTCGTGTTGAGATTCTCATATTGCTTTCTGAGAGACTGAAGCTTCACCTTTTTCACTGATGCGTCACCACTGTAATATCTGACCAGTGTGTCCCTCGCAGCCTTTGCTGTTTCAGAATCAACAATCTTCTCAAACACATTCACATCTACACATTGATGGATGTAGAACAACGCTTTCTGATCTTTCTTCTTCAACGTCTTCTGTGTTATCTTCTGGGTTTCTGTTGCGTCTGCTTCTAACAGATTATAGCCATCAGTGACAAGATCTAACACATCTTGAGAACCAAATAACACGTGCATCTGGATCTTCCAACGATTCCAGTTTTTTCCATCAAATACTGGAAGCTTGGAATGAATATCGCCGTTTCCGTTCATCTTCTACCTTGTGCAATTTACGCAGAAACTCAATGAAAAAATCAATGTTTCCCAAATTCCAGAGTTTCTAACAAGGAGCTCTAGAAATCAATTGTTAGAGAACAAGGAAGATAAAAGGCAAAAGGAATATTTACTGATAGCTTCAAAATAAGGATTTACAATGAATTACAATAACCTACTCCACTAGGCTATTTATACACAAAATTAAATCTATGATATATCTTCTACAAAGATATAAGAAGATCTAAGATATATATCTTCTAACAAAGATATAAACAATATAAAAGATATTCCTAAATATAAATTAATATTTAATTAAATCTAAATTAATTCTAACAGGCCGATCAGATAGATCATAATGAACCTACTTCTAAATTTAGTTGTAGAACCTAAACAAAAGAAAACATCAAATAAAATTGTAGGCTCACTAGCAAGAGGCATCTCCACCCCAAGCCACCTAAGTAAAACTACAAGTACTAAATAGATAAGAAGTTGACTCAATATAATCCTCGCATAAAATACACAAAGTCTCATTTGGGTAAAAAATACCCTCCATTTAAACAGATTTTCTTTAGTCAAAAACCTATCTAGCAAAAGTTTCTAAGAAAAGACCATCACCTTGTAGGTAAACCCAACTCTCCTAAATCAAAAGCAAAGAAGAAATAACACCGACACATTGTGTCTCAAAGATAGGAGTAAGTCAAAATTGGACTTAATAAGAAGATGCCACAGAAAAAACGCAATATCTAGTATATCTCTAAATCCACTAATCATTCTTCGAAGAAAGTTGAACTCTTAGAGAGTCAAAAATAACTCAACAACCAAAGGATCTTCATGAATGAAGAATAGTCTACTCCATCTGAGGTTCCATGTCAACCTCCCCTGATCCCACCACATGATCCAC